TTTGGTTCAGTGTACATTAGAGTGATGCAAAATTTGAATTATTCGCTCCACAATACTTACACGATTCCAAATCGGTTCCTGATTAACCTCTCAAAATTTGAACCCATTTGGTGAGAAACTGAGATGGCACAAACCATTTGAAGTTTGTATGGGAATTACTATGGTAAAACCAAGATTTTTGTTCATGCCTATCTAATAATTCACCATATCGGTCTGCTTCAAAAGCTTTCAATTGTACTTGAAAGAAACTTTCTCAGCTACAACTTTGCTGAAAACTTCTTTTTGATTAAATGCAACGATCGAAAGTTATCAATGGTTCAATGCACTGATGTCTTACGATCATGTTCAATCAACTGCTCAGCAGGCAACATTGGTGTTTCTGAGGCGTTGAATAGGACACAAAAATCATGGCTACTATGTCACATTGCAAAATACAGTGTTGCCTACAGAGAAGCTGCTTGATCATGTCATAAGTTTACCAATCTCTTAAATAATTAATAACTTTTTCCTGTATCGTTTTACATAGAAACAATCTTCAGCAAAGTTGTAGCTGAGAAAATTTTCTATAAGAATGGTTATAGAACAATTTCGCAGCTCAGTATGGAAAAAGACTAGAAGGCAATGAACAAAAAATTGAGATTTCCCATAGTAATTTACATATAAACTTCAAATGGCTTGTGCGAAGCCTGTTTCTAACCAAATGAGTTGTAACTTTGAGAGGCTAATCAGGACCCGATTTGAAACCATTTAGGCACTGTGGAGCGAAAAAGTCAAATTTTGCATCAGTCTAGTGTACATACAATGTTAAATATTATTATATATATTCTAGACGAACACGAGAAAGGGTAAATTTGTCAATTGACAATTACTTTAAACGTTAAACCCATGCACGATTGCTACACAATCGGGTAGGGCAAACTTCTTCTATCAGATCTGCCCATAAAAGCGTAACTGTCTCATATGTTTAGGTTATCTTGAAGAGATGGGACAGTTATATGCTTTAATCTGCAGAGATACCGATGTTGGTTTACAGGGATGAGCCTTAATCTGTGGGGAGAATTCGACGCTTAAGCCGTTGTTAATAATTTGCGCATTGGCCGTTTTCACCAAGATTTTGGAGTGCTAATGCATAATGCGTCAAATAGTTACAATATTATAAAGTACTTTCAAGGCTGATGTCAGAGAGTGATCGTTCCTTGGAGCATCGTTAATTATTTTGATGTAGGACTACGTCTTTCTATATGGGGGTACACTTTGTGAAAAACGAAAATGGAACATGTTACAAAATTATGAAAGATTTTGAACGTTAATAACTCAGCAGCCCCTGGACCAATTTCAATAATTTTATCACCAATCGATCAGATATATTTTGACGCATCTGTTAAGTTTAAGACTTTATCATTTTTCAAAATGTCACTATTGAAAATTGCACGGATGTGCAACTGTTGGTATGATAATTAAAATTATCACCGATTGCTTGTGAAAAGCGATTTCCCTAACAAAGATTTTAAAGTTGAATCCCATCCGGTCTCACCAAACTGTGTTTATTCAATCCCCGCGTGGTGAGTGGTGGTGTTATCCAGTACAAGTAGCTAGCTACCAAGGCTGACCTCAACCGCTGATTGGATTCATTTCCAATCACCATGTGTGGTGGAGTCTGGTCGTTGGCATCAGCTGCAGTAGCAGCAGTGCTTTCGGCGCGTGGCGTTGAACATTGTTCTCCAGTTCACAACGAAAGGCTGCCTGCAAGCAGTGAGCTGCAGCCTACATGAGCATCCATAGAAGGAGGAAGAAGCCGCACCACTATTGATTGGAATCAGTAGCTCTTGGTGAGTTGCTGTGGGCCATATATGTATGTCAAGTGCGTCACACTAAAGAGTATAAACAGTGACAAACCCGCTCAAATGCCTATTAATACACAAAACACAAGCTCCTGCTGCAGTTAACGAATAAGATTTATTATACAAGACCACGTAGTCCTACGTCACCATTGCGTACAACCCCATAAGGCTGTCCCTTGTAGTTTTTTTTTAAATATAGAACGTTAACGTTAAGCCCAATTGAATTTTCAATTAATCCTGTTGAAATGTATAATTTGTTTGAGTGCAGACAGAGTGCCATCTGAATTAGAAATTGAACATTTAAAAGTTTTGCAGTATGAAAGCACAACATACACTCAAAAAAGTCCACACTCATGTGTCTCACATTTAATTTTGCACTTATTGTGAAACACGTCCATTTCATGTGTGAATCTTAAGCTATGAGCCATGCCTGAACACTATGGATTAGAATTGTGACACACTTGGATTCTATGTGCCTCATATGGTGATATCAATAGCTTTGAACATCATAGTTCAATATTCTACAATATTCTACTTTATCGACCTCTACTTTACCGATTCTAAAAATGAATCGACAAATATATAAACAAAACTGCCAGAGGCCAGAGCTTTCACATATCTTTTTGATTGGTCTGATTTGGGGTTCGATCATGGACTGTTGGGGTGTACTGCTACCGCAGTCTTCGTTCGATCTCACTGTGCCACGGTTGTCCTCATATATGAGGCGGGTTGATACGATAAAGTCTCAAGTCTTGTTTTCGATGTTTACCTTTCTAAGCAAGCAACTCACGTCGCATTTAAATGCAAAACACTTTAAATCCATCTGTTTTGAACAGTAGAGTGATTCAATGTGCAATACACTTGAATATATAGTGAAAGATTATCAACATTTAAAAGTTTGAAACACTATAAATTAACGTGTATAACACATTGAAGTGAAATACACTTAAAGTAAATGTGATTGCGCATTTAAAAAAAAAACAAGTGTTTAAACACTTCGATCAAACGTGTGGATTTTTTTGAGTGTAGCTCTTATACAATTAAAAAATTGGCGTCTTGCAGTGAAACTTTTGAGACCTTTCACCTCCTACATTTCAAAGTGAGAACTGTTATATGTATGATGGTTGCAAAATTCTCCACGGAAAACAGGCGAATTTTGGGGAATATCGCAACATAAAGCAAAACTAATCTTTTCCCGGGGAAACTGATACTTGAATCGCTTGGCAATCAAGGAGCATTCAACTCTAAGACCAGAAGGTCCCGAACAAACATGCTCAACTTTTTGGCTCATCTCTAGTACTATCTTCGGTCCCAAGCTAATCAATGCACCCCTCGAAACATAAGAAAATCCCCGAACCCCTCATTTTATCTGTCAAACTTTCATAGCGAATCAAAACAAACGTAGTGAAGTACTAGAATTTCGACTAGAATGGGGTACGTTAATCGATTTGCTTGCGATAGGCTAGTCAAGTAGTGAGCCAATTTAAAATCGATAGTTTCGTATTGATTGTTGGTTATTATGCTTCTCGAGAATGTCTATGTTACAAGCACTCAACCTTAATGGATAGTTGAAAGCTCTCAGTTTTAATCTCATCATCATCGACATCTGTTACAAAAATCAACCATGCTGGAAGTCCATTATTTTACCACTACACATCATAGGCCACCAGAAACGGTTTTGGGCTATTAGGCCACGCCATTAGGTTGAATGGGTTATTAGGTCGAATGGGTCAATAGGCTAAATTTTTAAAAGTGGATGATTGAACTCAGTATTTCTTGGAGATGTAACCTTGTGAATTGTCCAAGACTTCTGTCTAAAAAGGGATATTGAATATTGATTTTTTGTTTTCCTTCGGTTTGTTTTTTCCGTCGATCTTGTTTTCCGTGCTGAGCACCAATGCTACCGACGTGCCAGGAAGGCAGCTCCCACACCTGGACCCTACCTATCGACCCATCAACTCATGAACCGGGGACCAACGGCTTTACTTCCCATCCGAAGGAAGGCGTGATCAGAGATGTTATGCCTCAGAACATCCCGGCGGCGCCGACTGGGATTGAACCCAGGCCTACTGGGGTGAGAGGTAATCCACTTACCACTACACCACTGGCGCCGTTGAATACTGAATTTTAATTTTGTGAAGATTTTGCAGTTTTTCTAGAACTTCAAAGTCGAAATCTTCTTGCCAAGAACGAAAACTTTGGGACTTGGAACCATTCATAGATCTCACTCTAAGAAATATACATATTTTATCTCAAACTTAATCCTGGTTTTAAGATTACACGCTAGGATGCTTTTCTAAATTTGGGTACTCAGATAAATTTTAGGATACATTAAATTTTTTTTTTAATTTTAAGATATAGAAAACATTTTACGAGCTGGTACTTAATAAGATTTTGAAGACCACTTTTCGATCAAATGTAAGGAACACAAATTATTAATAATTCAAGTCACTGATGCCATATGATTATGCTCAAACAACTGTTCAGTAGGCAACATTGGTGTTTATGGCACTTAGAATAAATGACAAAAATCATGGCTACTATGTCACACTGCAGAATTCAGAGTTGCCCTCAATACAGTTGCTTAAACTTGCCATAAGATTATCAATCTCTTAAACAATTAATAAAAATTTAATTTGACGTTTGGCAACGATCTTTTGCAAAGTTGTAGCTGATAATAATTCCCATAAGAATATCAATAAAATTTGTTAACAGTACAATATGTAAAAAGGCTAGAAGACAATGAACAAAAAGTTTTGTTTTCCCATAGTAATTTCCATATAAACTTGTGTTTGTGCCAAGTCAGTTTCTTATCAAATGAGTTTAAACTTTCGGAGGCTAACCCGATTTGAAACCGTTTGAACACTGAGAAGCAAAAATTTCAAATTTTGCATCAGTCTAATGACCACCCATTCGGGAAAAACCTTCAACCTGGGGCTGGTTCAACTCCGCATCTAAACATCTAGTTATTTCCAAAATATTAATAACACCACAAGAATTAACCACATTCAATTTGTTGACATTATATACTGTACATGAAAGTCTGAGTATATGACCTCATATAACGCATTCGACAAATGATAACATTTCTACACCGTGTGACCGATGCACTGTTGCTGTACATTTTCAACAGTTCAGAAGCGTTTGTCAAATCCGTTATATCGAATCTAATCTTCACCGAAGCATCCAAGATGACCGACTGGAAGACAGGTTTTCTGTGTCTTATGACACGCCCTCGGGAACCATTATTCTATCCCAAGTACGGAGGCCAAACGTACATGGCCCTACCTGAGCACTTCCTAACCGATCGCTACCGCCCACTGGCACCGATGATCTCTAAACGTTTTGGATCTGCACCCAATCACGTCGTGGTGAAATCGATAGATCCTCCGGACTTTACCTATGCTCTAGAAATTCCCCGAAACGGTAACTACAATACATTCAGCCCGAAGCATCGGAACATTTCCGGTAAACTAGTGCAGGATTTCATGAATGCACCGGATCCGGAAATACTACTCTCAATGGCTTCGTATGCCCGAGATCGGCTGAACCCGTTGCTGTTTCAGTATGCGTTGACCGTTGCTTTGCTCCATCGGAAAGACACGCACGATGTGCCGGTCCTATCATTGTTGGAAATGTTCCCGAAGCGATTCGTTGATCCATTATTGTTCCCACAATTGGAGGAGGAAGGATTCGTGGTCGATCAACCGCAGCGAGTGGCAATCGAAATCCCCATGGTGTACTCGGCATCGGAGGAACTATTAGAGCAACGACTGGCTTATTTCCGAGAAGATCTTGGAATCAATCTCCACCATTGGCATTGGCACATAACCTATCCGGTGGAAGGACCAATTGAAATTGTACGAAAGGACAGACGAGGTGAATTGTTCTACTACATGCATCGCCAAATATTAGTGCGCTATATTGCTGAAAGATTTTGCCATCACATGCCACCACCTACATCACTGGACAATCTGCGAGAACCGATCCCAGAGGCATATTTTCCGAAGCTTCTGAACAGTGCCTTGAACAGAACGTTTGCAGGCAGGGCAGAAAATGCTGTGATAACAGTGAGTAGAATAAATTTAAATTGTTCAATTCTTCAATGTTCTTATTTATATCCTTTTTCAGCACGTTAATAGACCAAATGATGAAGATTCCGTTGCAACCGTCTTGGAGATCGAAAACTGGGTGAATCGATTTAAGGAAGCAGTCACCAACGGTTATGTACTTGCAGTATGTTTATTTAGTCATTTTCGCTCGAGATACGGATCGTATGAATACAATTTTCTCTGCTTTATAGGAAGACGGCAAACATGTTCCTCTGGATGATGCAACTGGAATCGATCTGCTTGGAAACGTTATGGAAAATTCACTGTTGTCACCAAACATTCCGTATTACGGCAACATCCATTCAATGCTACACTCTATAATTGGCTTTGTTCATGATCCGGACAACCTTTATCTTGAAGGAACAGGCGTGATAGGCGATATTGCTACTTCCATACGCGATCCAATTTTCTATCGACTTCATACGTTTGTTGACGATCTGTTTGAGGATTACCTGAAGAAATTGGCTCCGTACACCTCTAAGCAGCTTGGCTACCCTGGTGTAACCATCGAAGATGTATCAGTGCAAGTCTCCAACGGAAAAGCTGCCGTAAATCGTTTACTTACATTCTGGCAGCGGTCTCAAGTCGACCTTGGAGTTGGATTAGATTTTGGTCCAACGGGAAATGTTCTAGCAACGTTCACACACTTGCAACATGCACCATTTGTCTACAGGATAAACGTTATGAACGATTCACAGAAAGTACGGAGAGGAACGGTTCGAATTTTCCTTGCTCCAATTTACAACGGATCTGGTAAAGCTATTCAGTTCAATCAACAACGTCGCTACGTCATTGAGCTGGATAAGTTCACCGCAACTTGTTAGTATAACAATCAAAGGCTTGACAAATATTTATTAATTGCGTTTCATTGCAGTGACCCCTGGTATAAATAATATTGTCCGTCGCTCAGACGAATCCAGCGTTACGATTCCATTCGAGAGAGCCTTCCGCCGTCAGGATATTGCCACGATGCCTGGCACAGAAAGTTTTCGTTTCTGCAACTGCGGATGGCCTGATCATATGCTCATTCCTCAAGGATCGCCCCATGGAATGCCTTATGACCTGTTTGTTATGGTGTCCGACTACAGACAGGATGCTGTGAATGTGAATTTTGATGAGTAAGTGTCCTGTTTTTTTAGCCACTACTTTCTTTATTTTATTAATTGATTTTTTTTTCTTCAGACACGTAGACTGCAACGATTCTCATTCCTACTGTGGTCTGCGAGACCAATTTTATCCGGATCGTCGGACGATGGGATTCCCATTTGACAGGGTGGTACCGAAAGAGATAAATCACATGGAAGATTTTGCTCGGTCCTTCTCCAACATGAAGAGAACGGTTGTCGAAATTCGTTTCACTAATACAACGATTTCCAAGGTTTGAATTTCAGTTCGGTGGAGTTATGGAAACATGATGGCGTGTATACTTGACTAATGGTTTCTTTATAATAAGTAAATAATTCAAAGCAAATTTTCATCTATATTAATCTTATTCAATCATCCGACAATCCATACATCCAACATCCATACTGCCGCTGATCGCAAGTCAGTCCCACTTGCATCTTTCTCAAAACTGAGTTTTTCAATGGAAATGGCATCACCCATATGTTTATAATACTGGATGAACTCAGCAACTTTGTTCCTGGAAAACTTTGGAATAATAGCAGAACGGGTTGTCCCATTACTTTAAAAAAAAACACGTTTTTCTCGGCATGCTGATATGTGCTATGGGACGGACTTGTCATGAGCGACAGCATATGAAGCTCAAACAGTTTCGTCAGTTTTTAGACATATTTTTTTCATTTAAGAGATTACATATTTCACATTGAATTAAACAAATAAACGATTCAAAAGGTCCTAACTATATTGATCGATTCACTTCATCGACTTTCTCTTTCGTTAATGACTAAGAGGAAGAGGAGACAACTGGCTTCTTTTTGTCTGTGAAGCGTTTTTCTTCTCTCGCGGAAACTATTTCACTGTGGGCGACGCAGTCGACTGCCAAAATACAAGTAAATAGATTACCTGTTGTAAAAATTCTCAGGCGCTAGTTCGCGTTTGACATAAAATTGGTTCAAAAAGTCCCCTATTGTCTCCTCTTCCTCTTAGGTTAAAAACTCAGTTGTTGTATTTGACGTTTTGGACGCTAGATAAGAACAGATTATCAAAATAGAAAGTGGATGAAGAGAATCTATCAAAGCAGATAGGACCTTCTGAAATGTTCATCGCGAAATGTTCCATGGAAAATGAGAATGAGACGGCTTGGGGACAAAAGGTCGAAAGACAGAAGATGGAAAAGACAAAATATCGAGAGATAAAAGGTCGACAGGCCAAAAACTGATATTATTATTAAAGGGTGTCCACGATGAAATTGCCACACACAAAATTGATTCGCAAAATTCGAGTTTTCATCCGATTGCCATCAAATTTTCAGGGATTGAGAAATAACTATTAAACTTCATTTTACCATTTTACTCGTATTTTATTTACAGCCCATACGCAAATGCCTGCACCTTGGCCTTAACCCCGGCCATAAGATTCTGCACAACCTGTGAATCAACCGTTTTTTGCATGTAAACCCATACTTTCTTCAGTTCCTCGACTGTCTTCACTACCTTAGGTCGTTTAAGAAGGTGCTGCTTCATAATCGCCCAGTACTTCTCGATGGGGCGGAGCTCCGGAGTGTTGAACATTTTCGGCACGAAATTGACCTTATTGTCCGCATACCACTTCAGCACGTCCTTGGAGTAGTGGCATGAGGCCAAATCCGGCCAGAAGATTGTTGGGACGTTGTGGGCCTTCAGGAGAGGAAGCAGCCGCTTCTGGAGGCACTCTTTTATTTACACCTGTCCGTTCATCGTGTCCTGGGTCACGAAAGGTGCACTCCGCTTCCCGCACGTGCAGATGGCTTGCCAAACCAGGAATTTCTTCGCAAATTTGGACATCTTCTGAGTGCGGACATGCTCCGGAACGCTGAACTTATCCTTGGCCGTGAAAAACAGGTTGCCGGGGATCTGTTTGAAGTCGGCCTTCACATATGTTTCGTCGTCCATGATGCAGCATTCAATTTTCGTCAGCATGTTGAGGTACAACTTCCTGGCACGGGTTTTGGCGGACTTGTTCTGCTTCTCGTCGCGATTAGGGGCCTTTTGTACCTTGAACGTTCGAAGCCCAGCCTTAGTTTTGGCCTTCTGGACAAAACTTCGGCTTAGGTACAGCTTCTTAGCCACATCCCTAACGGAGGCGTTCGGATTTCGGTTGAAGGCCCCAACTACGCGGTTGTGATTTTTGGTGTTGTACGGAATACTTTTTCCTTCACTTCTGGGCTTCCGAACGGTCGTCAACCGTTCCTCGAACCGCTTAATCACTCACGACACCGTGGAATTCGCGATTCCCAACGTTTTAGCGATGGAACGATGCGAGAGATCCTTGTTCTCGTGATGAATGCGCAAGATTTTATCACGCACGAGCTGTTCTTTCGACTCCATTTCCGCGAGTTTTGATCACAGGACCTTAAAACTTGCAGGATGTAAATAATGCACTATGAACTAAATCCACCCAAATTTTCATTAAATTCTACCCAACGGTTAAAAAGTTAGAGCAATTTCATAGTGTGGCAATTTCATCGTGGACACCCTTTATTAAAGTCTATCTGACTTGATAGTCTCAATGAAACACTTAAATCTAAATGTAGTCACTCATTAAAAATTAAAAATTGGCCAACAGCAAACGATGACGAAACCTCGAGGCATTGATGTCAAAGTCAAATAGGTCAGAGGCTTCGTTAAATTGATGAATCATGGCGACAAAGGAACTGTTTGCAGCATAGTTGGTTGCATGTACTACTTCATGTAGCAAGGTTTTCGGACGGAGTGTTCGGGCAGGAGCATACAGATTAATTTTGGCCAGTAACTCAGGAACATCATATTCTGCGAGTAAAACTTTAGCAACGAAGACGACCTGCGATATGTTTCGTCGCTTAGCAAGAGTATCCAAACCCAGTAAACGACAGCGGTCAGCATACGGTGGTAAATTCAGCGAGTCACTCCATGGAAGATAGCGCAGTGCGTATCTGACGAATTTGCGTTGAACAGCTTCGAATCGTCCACTCCATACAGCTTGGTAGGGATTCCAGACAACACACGCGAATTCCAGTAGTGAGCGTACCAATGAACAGTAAAGGGCTTTAAAACACAGAGTATCACGAAATTCCTTAGATATCTTGAACATGAATCCAAGCTGTCGATTAGCTTTGTCGATCGTGGTTGAGAAGTGGCGAGTGTATGTGAGCTTTTCATCCAACATTACACCGAGGTCTTTAACGTGATCGACACGTTGAACTACAGTTCCAGCAACGTTATAATCAAACAAAATGGTAGTCCTAGTTCGACGGAAACTAATTACGCAGCACTTTGAGACGCATAGGACCATAAAATTACGTTCACACCCATCATTAAAGATTTCAAGAAGGTTTTGTAGTTCTAAACATAGCCTCGAACGACTAGATAAATCTTCAAGTCATCGGCAAAAAACAATTTACCTCCACGTAGTAGAATAAACGTTACATCGTTCACAAATAAAGAGAAGAGCATTGGTCCCAAAGTGCTACCCTGTGGAACTCCTGATCTGTTCGAGAAACAGTACGATGAGTAGTTTCCAATGCATACAGTAACTTCACGTTGCACGAGGTACAATCTTAGCCAGCTGCAGAAGGGAACAGAACATCCAATTTTTTCAAGCTTTGCTAGCAGAACGTCGTGCACAACTCTATCAAACGCAGCTTTAAGATCAGTGTAGATGGCATCCACTTGAAGTTTCTTGCATACATTTTCCATACAGAACGACGTAAAGCAGAACAGATTAGTTTCCACGGAGCGGCCAGGAAAGAAACCATGTTGACACGTACTTATGTAATGCTTGCAGGAAGCAAACAATCTCTCATTTATCAGCGACTCAAACACCTTAGATTCAATATGATGTAAATATTCTGAAACTGATTTGTCATGACTTGGAAAAAATTCTCAAAAGTAAAACATGATTTTATAATATTTTCTCTTTTTTGAAAGCTGCTTGTTGGGCGTTGGCCAAATTTTGATTTTTCAGATACAATCCTGAATAGGAGATGCTTAACGTTAATATCAGACTTAAAGTGAACATTTCAGGCATAACATTTGATAACGGCACAAAAGCATTTGTAAACAAACTTTCTAAGACCCTTTACGCGCGAACCAAAGTACGCGCCATTATCAAATGTTATGGCTGATTTGATAATTTTTTTGGACTTTTCCAATGTTGAGTAAGTATCCGTCCATTAATCGAACACTCGATAATTCAACGTTACGATAATCCGTCTCTTGTAAGTCAGTTAATAACTCGGCTCAAAAACATGTTCAGCTATTCTTATCATACAATACGCTTAATAATACTTTCTTTTAACAGAATATGCAGATAAATTAGCCCGAAAGATGAATGCAGCCAAGTTATTAACAAAAGATTGAATCGATGAAGATAATAGATCAATGTAGTTAGGACCTATTGGAAAATAACGTGAGATTTATGGTGGCTTACCACCATTGGAGCTTACTCCAACAGGTGTTATTCTCGGATTAAATGCCGATCAAGAATGTCCGGCTGCTTGATGTCGATATCAGATTTATTCAACACGACTCTAAGAAAACATGTTGCAGATCATCCAAACAGGAACGGGATTAAAAGTTAATCGGAGTTTGAGCTTACCGCTATTAATATCAATCACAAAACAGAATTCAAGCTTAACATTGTCTTAGGTCCTAAGTAACATTGACATATTTTCAAGAAACGGTTCTGTGCTCAAGTTATTAACGACGAGATTAACGAAAAAGAAAGCCGACAAAGAGAATCTGTCAATGTTGCTTAGGACCTAATGCAATGTTCAGCTTGAAGTTATCAAAGAAAGAGAAAGTTGACGAAGAGAATCGATCCATGTTACTTAGGACCTTATGTAATGTTCAGCTTGATTTAATGTCATGTAAACAACAAAAACATTCGTTGCGTATCTAGTGCCAGTATTGTGGTTCTTAAGAAAAATCCACATAATGCCCAACAACTTATGCGCCGATCAGTTGCGCGCCGGGTTGTGCGCCAGCTATCTTGATGAATATGTAAACAAACAAACGTCAAAAAAAATCCGTATCGAACCGCAAATTTTCCGAGTTTGTTCTATTCATAACAGTTTCCAAATCCATACTTTCCATAACATTGACAAAATGTATCGAATTAAAGAAGAGGTACTTGGCCGACATGCATCAACCAATACGAAGTATCACGTGCTGTACGGGTTCTATTTCCTGGGCTTGTCCAAATCGCAATTGGCAAAAATGTACGGGAAGCATCACACTACAATTAGCAGCTGGATAAAACGTTATCGCGAAAGTGGATTGGTGGCTCGCAGAGAGAGAAGAAAAGTGTCCTTGCAGTTTGGAGCAGAGAAACGACGGTGGTTAATCGAACAGTTTAAAAAAAAATCCGACATTATTCTTAGATGAGGCCAGGGATAGTTTTGAGAAAACTTTCAACTGCTCCATCAGTACGTCCTCTGTTTCCAGAATACTACACGAGCAAGGATATACGTGGAAAGTTCTAGAGCGTCGGGCGATCCAGGTTCAAGAATCTCAGATTTGTCATTTCGTCAATGAGCTGGCTGCAGTAAACTGGGACCTACATCACCTTATCTTTTTGGACGAAGTATCGATCGACAACAGAGGTATGTTGCGGAATCGAGGCTACGCCAAGGTCGGCGAAAAATTGATTTACAGGGGTGAATTCAACCGCAAAGCCAGAGTATCCTTACTCTGCTTCTTGGGCCAGACAGGAATGAAGAACACGTACTTGACGGAAGGAACTTTCACGAGGGCAAAGTTCTTTGAATGTTGTCGTAGCTTTGTCAACAATGGAGAAATTTATCGACACCCTGGAGTTAATTCGGTCTGGATCTTGGATGGGGCTAGAATTCACTGCCATCGACGAATAGTTGAGTACCTCCGGTCATTGGGAATCCATGTTATCTTTTTGCCTCCGTATACACCGTTTTTCAATCCAATCGAGTATATTTTTGAATACTGCAAGAAAAAACTACAACGTGTCTACGTAGAAAATAGCTCTTCGGATCTCACAACTACCATTTCTGCGACGTTAAATACATTCACGAACTTTAACTGCACTCGTGTATTCCGCAAATGCGGATATCTGCCAGGTGGGAAATTCAATCCGGCAAACGGACTAAGTCAAAATATCGAATCATTGGGATTTGAGAATGTACGTAATAAGGATTAATAAACAATAAATCAAATAATCAAATGTTGTTCACCTTTTTTTTATTTCATAAACTCAAAACAAAGAGATGTTCAATAAGCAACAGCTTCAATCAGTTGGTCGTCCCGAATGCGTATGGAATCGTTCGGAATCAGGATCAGCAAATCGTTATTGATGGTCGACATCCAAGCAGTCGGTCACTTCCTCGGCGAGTTTCTGCCCAAAGCTATCTTCAGATACAGCAATACTGCCAGACACATCTGCTAGCAATGAAGTGTTAGTTGCCTGCATCGTTTGCAATGCGGTCAAGCGCAATTGCATCGCCTTAGCATATGTCATAAGCTGGTCCAAATCTGCTTGCAGGCCATCCAACAATTGTTTATACCCTGAATTAACATTTTGGGCAATGCATACATCCTGACGAGTGTGATTCAGCACGTTTTGAGAGCATGAGGGAACCGTCTGGAACAAATGTATCAGATGTTGGGGAGGTCCTCGGAACTTCAATTCCTCTCGTTCAAGCGCGTCTTTGGTCAGTAAGTACGAAGCCCATACAGACCAGTTGATGTCCGATGAAATGTAGGATAGCTTGTAGAGTTCATTCAACTCAGTGGACAAATTACTGTTTGCCTGGTTGGCTGCTGCTCCTGCTCGGTCACGCTCCTCCGGTTTTATCAGCTGTACTCGCAGTGTTTCGTACATAGCGGTTGAGGTCACCGACTCCGAATAAATGTGCACAAACACGTTAATATCTCTGTTCAGAAATTTCTGCATTTTGTCTGGCTTTTCTAGCAACTGTAATGGTTTAAACGTGCGTTTCGAGGCTTTATCTTGGAAGGAGATGAACTCATCCATATCGCCGACTTCTGGGTTCAAATCATCATTCCAGTGCACGGTAAATTGATCAGCATCTCCACCAGCGAGTGATTCAAACACGGCCTCTCTGCGAATGAACTTTTCACAGTAATCCCATACAGTTTGCATTACCTCCTCAGCTGATTCACAGTTCACTTGCACTTTTCCCACAGAAGGACCTTTTTTGTGGCCCTTGAAGTTTCTGATGAATACAGTTGCTGGGAATCGAAATATTTGTTTTGGCTCCGCTTGTTCACTTTCACTTCCAGGACTTCCGGGCGAAGCAGAATCCAGTGTATCCTGGAACGATCGTTTTGTCTGCTGCACATTTGATGGTCCTGCTTCTGCTTCCTCCTCCAGAAATTCTACCTCGTAGTCAACCTCCCGTCCCTCCAGTCCTACAAAAGTTGGAGACATATGCATGATGGCACATCTGAAAAAGAAACACTTATAATGAAATGCATTTCATTTGAATTGATACGAAAAATATTTTACCTGCGATTCAAAGTCGACGTCGAACGGGCACAGCAGAAATCAAATGAAGCCGCTAGGAAAAATGAGTTGACAGTTTGTTTTGTTTTGTTTGGTGAAGGGTAACTGATGGGTTGTTGACTATGTACGATTGCAAGTAATTTTTTTTATTTGTTGATTTGCAACTGTTTTAAGTGAAATTATGATTCACTGGCCCGAAATACATATAGGTAATAACGAGTTGAAGCTTTAAAAAGGGTAACGTCAATATTTAAAGACAATTTTTGAAGCAATATAAGATTTCGTTCGAGTCAACTATCAGTCACATACCCTTGCGCACAAAAGAGTGACAGCTGAGCAAATCAAGCTTTTGCTAGAATTTCTCGGGAACCACAATATTATTGACGAAAATGTATCCAGCAGGTCATCCTGTAGCAAATTACCAGCAGTATCGTGCAAATTACCATCACTATTGTGCAATTCTCGATCAAAAGAAATTGCTGACCCTCGCGGACACAGTATCAAACGCGCTTTCAAGTAAGTCAGAACGTAGGAAAAATAAACACATCTTCGAAAACCAACGTACCTTCCTCATTTTCCAGTGTATGACTTTCGGTGGTGTACAAACCATCCGGCATCCATGTCTCTCCTGTCTCCAATAACATGAGCAGTTCTCTATTGAATGCACTCAAGGCCAAGTCACTGGATAGTTATCCATCGTTTTCCAGTACTACGTGTGAAAATAGGCGATCGATAGTGTGGGATCCTAGAGACAATAAAACTAGAAAAATGAGTCGATTTGAATTTGATTTATGAGTGATCAATATGTACATACCATGTTCAAGCAAACTCTCAATACTTGTTGTAGCGATAATGATGTGTCTTTTACGGCGAGAGGAGTCACAAACTTTGTATGCAACTAATTGGTCCATAGTGCTTAGTTATTGTCCTTAATTGGAATTGGTGGTATGGAATGCTTGATAAATAGGTACTTTTTATGATTTTCTTCGAAAGAAGCAATCGGTGTTCGGTCAATGATATCTTCAATTGGTTTGCAGAGTAACTTTGATGAGTCTTCGTCGTTGTTCTTTATCTCCAAAACACCTCGCTATGTTGTTTATTGCGAGTTCATTTCCAAAAACTACAATTGTTTTCGACGAAATGTTGTAGAGTAGTAACACGATATTCAGCACAAAGCAGTTTTCTCCGTATTCATCATGGTTTAAGAACAAAAAATTGCCTGCACTATACGAGTATCCTATGTATGAACTCTTTTCAGCGTACACAAATCGGTCATCATCCAATTTTAAATCACGAAGGGTGTCCTTCCATGAGCACGGAAGTTCCTCAAATTTTTCTACGAAACTTCCCAATAGAAAATCGTTTTTAAAACGATTGGTTTGTAAGTTCAAAAGACCTTGGTAATATTGAGGGGGAGGTAGCTCATCGATTCTTCCGGTTCGCCTCCTAGCATCGTGCTATAAGGTACCAGGCGATAACCAGGGTAGTTGATCGATAGCTTGATGATTTCATTTCGTTGGCGTCTGCTATGGGAAATTCTCATAGCAGGTGTTGACGATGGGACGTTGTCGAGTTGTTGAATAGCAACTATCGTGGTAACTCACCGATTACCTGTCGATCTGCCAAATTTGGAAAGACGTCTGCATTGAATTGTCTCATATAATAATATTCCGCCCACTATATCACACGAAATTGCGAGTAGTTGAGTGGAATGGAGATAAGTTAAGCATTGGGTACATGACCAAGTCTCCCCTGGGTGGTGCCAGAAGATGAGCGCAATAGAATCATCAAGTTGCCATAAGGCACGGAACGAGACTATTGCATGGCTGGGTAGTCAAAGTCTTCCATTCGTTAGTCATTTCAGGTGGATTAGAACAGGTTTAGGTTTAGGGTGGGCGTTGGCCAGATTTGGTTTCCTAAATAGGACCTAGATTATTTAATACACTAGTAACCTCAACTTCTGTCACAATGTTTCATTGTGACTAATCAACACTCAATGGGTAAAATATCAAATTTGCGGTAAATTTGAAAAAAGGGAACTTGGAGTGTAGAGTGCACTGTTCACTGGACGATTCTGAAGCCCGACCAAGTGAGTGGGTTACGGGTTTATTTGATTGTACGTCATTTCCAAGTTATATATAGATACATTCATACCATTGGCATTTTGTATTTGAGATAAGACAGAGACAGGATGCGGAGGGCCCGCTTAGGGGGAGCGTAACCCATGTTATGGCTTCCATTTATTAAATAGTTCAGATAGGCTGGAAATGATAGGTTCATGGTGAGAAAATGTACCATATGGTGCCCGTTCACTGATCAAAATTAGATTCAAATCGTCAGGCCCTGCCCTGGAATAAGGGAATTGACGATGATTTGTCAAGTTTCATTTTGCATTTGCATATAATTGTAAGTTTAGGTTTGCTTTTGTAATTGTAAGATAGATAGTTTGCCTCAATTGAAACATTGAGTTAAACATACCTCTAAAATAGTAGTAGTTACAGTGCCGCATTATCTAACTTTTGTTTTGTTTGTTTACATATAACTAATACTAATACCTCCTTGTTTTCTCTCTAATTTGTCTACTATGTCCCACCATCACGATGAGAGATGAGCTACCGTACATGGTACACGCTCATATACACTCCCAAAATAGTATGCCGCAAGTAAGTATATCACAGAGGCAACTAAAGATCCAGAAACAAAAACCGAAAACGCTTGGTTTACAGTGGTCGACCAGGGTGTGTGCTGATAAATTACAAAATTACAATTACATCATTATTCCATACATCAGCTTGAATTACGTTGATCGATATTACATTTTTTTGCTGTACACTACACCACCGGAGCCAGCAAAGTTCAACAATCCATCGTTGCTTATGCCTTTGTTGTCGTTTGGAACCAGTTTTGCGTGGTAGGTGACGATTGTGCGTATTTCTCGCGTAAATTTTGAAAAGGGCCTAGCCTGAACAATACGTAAAGAGCAAATTGAAACATTGTACGTCGCGTGAAAGTGGAACTTAATGAAGGCCTAAGTACTTTTTCGTAGTTTTTAGTTTTCGGATTTGAAAGATCGTCGGTTACAGTGGCCTGCTTACTGAGCAGAAAAACGCGGTCCCAGGTCCTTACATATCAAAGAGATTTATAGTAAAATCGCTTGTGTATCGTGTATTTTGCGAAACTCGTTGTTGTCGTTGGTTCCGGGTTTGAATGGATACAAAAATTAGAGCAACGGTATTATGTGATATGAGGGGCTCGGTGGCCTTAGAGCAACCGTTTTTGCTTACTGAGCAGAACATCATGAGTCTAATCTCAGGCCCATCCACAATCAAGATTCGTCAATCGTTTTATTTGTTAATATGACTACATGGTAATAACAGCAGCTCGGTGATTAAAAAGGTGCTCGTCTGCCTAGTGGCAAACGTTTTTGCTTACTGAGCAGAAGACCGTGGGTTTAGTCCCAAGCTCCTTCGCGTTATATGATCGTTAGGACATTAATTCAGCTTATCGTTTACCAAAACGAACCCTGCTGCAAACCCAACCCTCTTATCCAACATCCCAGTGATTCCTCGTGGAAGTGCAGAGGTGTTCTCGGCTTCCATCAAAGCGAGTGTCATGTCAACACAATCCTTCCCATTCCTTTCTTGACCTGTGTTCGGGCGCGGCCGGCGCTGGTATTGCCTAATTTAAGATCACCAGTTTTTACACATTGAGGATGATTGCTAGTCCCAAGCATCGTCTATTGGTTCTCTGTGTAATTACAGCTGATCTGGCAATAACAGAGTAGCAACCGTGGGCGGTCAATCAAGCTCAAGCTCAAGCTCAAGCTCAAAAGACCTTGGTAATATTGATGTTGCTCGCTGCAGAATTTTACGACATTTTTAAAGTTGAGCGTAGTACGCAAGCATCGCTTAAAAAAGCAATGTTTTCTTTCGCAGAATAAGGTGCAGTAGGCCATTATAGGGCCCATATATAACAGGTAGTGGAGTGGAGTGTGAAGTGGTGTTTGGGTCTCAATGGTAAATAAAATGAGATCTCCTCAATTCCACATACTCATTCAAGTCTGCTGTCAGTATGTGTATTTGTACGTTTGAAATAACCGGAGCTGTTACAGAATCAGTGATTTTTTTAATCAAAAGCAGTATAATAATTTCTGGTTTGTTGTAAACAATGGATTTCTGAAGGAAAATTAAAGGAATTATCTGTACAAGATTGTTTTTTTTTTGTTTAAAGAGACTTTACCCTTCAAGGGCATTCGTCTCTGAAAATTTAATAATTAGTGTTCACAAAATATACATATACATTTCAAATTTTCTTATACATTCTAATTTTTTTCAAAAAACTTATTACTTTCACTTCCGCATCCTTATTGTTTCTTAATACAAATTCTACGTCGTCGGGAAAATCCACATCGTGACGCTGTGAGTTGAACTGCTGACAGCCGATGAGGATATGATGAACAGTTCGGTTCCTGTTACAGGTATTGCAAACTTCTTGCGGTTTCCTTTCGAACAAATGGTGTTTTGTTAGCCAGGTGTGTCCGAGTCGAAGCCTCGTAAGAACTATTTGGTCTCTTCTGTCCTTCTGGTCCATCCATCCAAAAACTGATGGTTTAACAATCCTAGTTATATTGCTTGCTGATCCATCCCAAGTTGACTGATGTATTTGACATATTTCACTTTTACTCCATTCGATAATATCGTGTGCTGGAACATTGTTTGTAGCTTTCTCTCGCTGTCGACCTTTATTTGCTGCTCTGTCAGCCTCTTCCAAGTCCCCGGCAGGATGACAGATAACCTTAGTTTCACGTAGCCACTTGCAAATAGTAGATGTCGTCACACAACGTAAACAAAGGGTTTCTCCTTCACCACCGCAACGGTGTTTCTGTATGAGAAACAAAATTTTTGTTTCACCATGTGTGGATGTCAAACAAC